GCCTCTTCTGGTTGACCCTGTGTCTGCGTTCATGATGTCCTATTTATTATTGGGTTTTGTGCTTTTAGCTCTTCCGAGCCAAAGGCTCAGAGATCTAATGCTATGGTCATTTGTGCGGTGTGCGATGTGCTTAAACTTTTTAAAATATGGGCCATAACTCAAGAACCTCTTGGCCAATCATTGTCAAATTTGTCACAGGGCATTCTTGGCTTCGGTTGCACATACCATAATAAAATTTTGTATACAGATTTATCATTAAAATATCTAGGTCCAGTTCTGTTTTGGGTATGATAGAGCAATTTTTGACAGAGTTATGCCCCTTGGACTTAGAAAAATTCCAATTATCTGGGGAGGGGGTATAAGTGTTTTAAAAACATCTCATTTACATTGTATGATGTGGGCACAAACCCCAGAAAAATTAAAAGGTAAATATATAATATCATGGAAGAGAAAGTCTGCACATTAAAACCAATGAACCATAACTCCATCTCCAGGGTCCTCTACAATACATGTATGCCAATTCGATTGTAGATTTTTTCAGGTAACATTTTTGTCCCTGTTTCTTAAACTTATCTTAACTTAAGTTATGACCATATAAAATTGTGACCATAAGTTAATTATGATTATGAAAGTGGGGTGGGGGGTGCAGCCAGAGAAAAAATTTTCAACTAACCTGAAAAAAAACCTGTCAAGCAAAAATAAAAGGGGGTCAACTTCTTTCAGTACCATATTTTCTTCCCTAAAAAAACCCCAACATAACCCTTATTTGACCTTACTGCAACAAAAAGTGGGAGGAGGGGGGGGGGGGGGAGGGCAACTGGCCTTATTATGAACATTCTCAATAGTAGTAAAAAGTTATGTTTGGGAATTAAAACATGGGGTGCAGGCTCCAGTCTGTCTGTAAACTTATTACAGCTTTGACTTCTTCTCCAGAACCACTGGGCCAGAAAAGATGAAACTTATGGGGAAACATCTTCAGGTATTGTAGATTCAAGTTTATTCAAATCATGACCCCACTTACATAAGAATATACGAGGGCTGTTCGGAAATTATTGAGACATTTGCTGAAACTCTATAAAGGACAGAGATAAGTTCATGAAAATTTGTCAACATTTTATACAGAACGAATAAAACAGTTATGCAAAATTTCTTATTTCTATGGTTATCAGATAAGTTCTGGTGAAATCATACACTTGCATGTGTCCATTGACCTGGAGCAGCATCGCTACGTCATTTTAATGTTACTTTAGCCAGAGATATTTTCGCATGTAAAACGATCGAGAAGCACTTAGTCCGTTTCTTTGTTTGTTTTTAGCTCTACTGGTCAGAGACCAGAAGAGCTTATGCAATGGAAAGGTGTCCGTCATCCGTCCGTCTAGCTGTCCGTCTGTCTGTAAACAATTTTTCAAAATGCTACTCCTCCTACAATTTTAGTCTTATTTCAATATAACTTGGTACACAAGTAGAATACACTAAAATACATAAACTAGTGCATCAGTTTTTGATTTCGATGAACAGTGTTGCCATGGTTACTAAAAATAGAAATTTTTGAGAAATTCCTTTAAAATGCTACTCCTCCTAAAATTTTGGTCTGATTTCAATAAAATTTGGCACACAATTAGACTACACTAAGATACATAATTTTATTTATTGCTGCCTGTTGCAAAGTTTCAGATCCAAGTGCTACTTTTCCTTTGTTACATAGCTCTAACAGACCATTAGAGCTACAGTCTCATCAGAGACTTCTGGTTACATATAACATTACAAAAATTCAAACCAATTCCCTTTTTTCATTTACAGATGCTGAATTTCCCTGTATTCATCCTGACAGCAACAACAGAAAGTGTGTATGATTATGAAAGGGGGTGTTTGTTATTTGATGTCCCTCTCAAGAATTTTTAACTTGTAGAAGTTGCCACAACTTGCCGGTGGAGAGCTACAAATTTTTACCTATTCTTGACACTGACATGAGCAGTGAGGGATCTTTTTTGTGCCAAAGCCTACAGTAACTCTAACATGGGACCTTGTTAAGAAATAGTCTCATCAAAAGGAAATATCTCCACATCTCACAGTGCCAGGATAAGATTGAACCTGCGATGTTAGGATAACCCCTTACTTCACAACTCTAGGGCAGAGGCTCTAACCACTTGATTTACCATGATAACAAAATGTGCAGTAAATGAATAAATATTACATGTATTTTTAAATATTTACATTTCCAATGTCTTTGTCCGAGATAAAATTACCAATTGTAAATGTAATTGATTTCCTCATGAATGTTTTGGCGCGGTTCCAAAAAAACCACGTGCAAGGCGGGACAACACCTAGAGAGAAGCAGGCTTGGAGCCCGTGGATTGGCGGAATCAAAGCATGTAAATATAAGGAATAACTGTCAGATTTTTCGAATTCATGAAGATGATCAATGGATTGGCTTGTGTGATAATTTTATGCATAAACGCCTTCGGCAAATTATCACACAAGCCAATCCATTGATCACTTCATGAATTCGAAAAATAAGACAGTTATTCCTTAAATGGAATACATTGGATACATATATTGATTACTATGTAAATGATAATGATTCAATAAGTCACAGTATAATATGGCAATAACATATGCTGTATATGTTATTAGGTCACCTGAGTAAACTCAGGTGACCTATTGCTATCTGTTTTTGTCCATCGTTGTGCGTCGTGCGTTATGCGTTAACATTTGAACATTTTCAGCTTCATCTCTGCAACCACTGAACCAATTTCAACCAAATTTGCCAAAAAGCATCTATGGGTAAAGGGGAACAAAAGTTATGAATTTCATGATCCCTGCCCCCCTGGGGCCTGAGGGTTGGGGCCAAAACCACTAAAATTAATGCAATCTTTAAAAATCTTCTTCTTTACTCCTGGACATCAAGCAGTCAAACTGTTTGCATGATTGTAATCAGCATTGAGTCCTCTACCAAAATTTTGAAATTCATGACCCTGGGATCAGGGGTTTTAGTGCTAGGGCGGGGCTAAATAAGTATATAGTGAAAATGCATTATTTCTTTGAAAATCTTCTTCTCTGCTCCTGGGTATTAAATAGACTAACTAAGTGCATAGTTATGATGAGCATGAGTGCCTCTACCAAAATTGTGAATTTTATAATCAATAGAGCCCCAGGGTCAGGGGTTCTGGTGTAAGGGCAGGGCTCTATTAATTGTATAGTGAAAATACATGAATTCTTTGAAAATCTTCTTCTCTGCTCCTGGGTATTAAATAGACTAAGTACATAGTTATAATGAGCAAGAGTGCCTCTACCAAAATTGTGAATTTTATGGCCCCAGGGTCAGGGGTTCTGGTGTTCGGGCGGGGCTCTATTGATTATATAGTAAAAATACATGAATTCTTTGAAAATCTTCTTCTCTGCTCCTAGGTATTAAATAAACTAACGAAGTGCATAGTTATGATCAGCAAGAATGCCTCTACCAAAATTGTGAATATTATGGCCCCAGGGTCAGGGGTTCTGGTGTTAGGGCGGGGCTCTATTGATTATATAGTGAAAATACATGAATTCTTTGAAAATTTTCTTCTCTGCTCCTAGGTATTAAATAAATTAACTAAGTGCATAGTTATGATGAACAAGAGTGCTTCTACCAAAATTGTGAATTTTATGGCCCCAGGGTCAGGGGTTCTGGTGATAGGGTGGGGCTCTATTGGTTATATAGTAAAAATACATGAATTCTTTGAAAATCTTCTTCTCTGCTCCTAGGTATTAAATAAACTAAGTGCATAGTTATGATGAGCATGAGTGCCTCTACCAAAATTGTCCAAGGGCCCCAGGGTCAGGGGTTCTGTTGTTAGGGCGGGGCTCTATTGATTATATAGTGAAAATACATTAAATCTTTGAAAATTTTCTTCTCTGCTCCTAGGTATTAAGCAGATGAACTACCTATATAGTTATGATGAGCAAATACTTATTTCAACAATCAAGAAAAAACAATAATATTGTTTTTAATGAAATCTTAAAATATTTAAACAATTACTTTATTGTTTAGAAGAAAAATTTTCAGGAAATATATTTTACAAAAATAGATGGTCCAAGTGGAAATGTCTTTTTAAATTGTGTCTAATAGTAACTCTTAATATAATTACTGATTGAATATGCATTGCATATTGCGTAAGTTTATGTTTATGTATATTATACGTATATTGAAGTGTATCTATCCTTATGTATGTATACTAGATGTTTATAAATGTGTGTGTATTTGTTTGTTTTTCCAACAGGTATGAGAGTGGGAGAGAGAGGTGTATATGTCTTGCAATTACTTAAATTAAAAAAAAATGATGAGCAAGGGCCCTAATCTTCCAGAATTGTGAATTTCAAGGCCCCAGGGTCCGGGGTACCATAGAGGGTGGGGGCTGTACTTATATACTGAAAATGAATGAATTGTTTGAAACCTGCTCCTTGGTATTAATCAAATATTTTTGAAAAGCAAGGATGCCTTTTCAAAAATTGTGCAATGTGTGGATCTAGGCCTAAGGGTCAGGGGTTCATGTGTGGTAGGGGCACTACTGATTATTGCTGAATATTACTGATTAGTTGAAATACATGCTCAGGTGACCTATAAGGCCCATGGGCCTCTTGTTTGATAATATATAGTACAAGCCAGAAGTGTTACAGACAATTAGGGAAAATGACAGGAAAAATGAATGTAAATTTCAATGAGTGTCACTTGACTTTCATTTGACTTAAAAGCCTCTAAGGCCATTTCACTAAAAAGCTGTCCAAGTAAAATTTACATCCAAAATTTTTTAAATATCAAAACTTTTCTCAGAAAAAAGTGGAGAAAGTGGGAAACAATATAATTGTATTCATCCCTTCCATCTTGACATCTTCCTCCTCATATAACACTGTCTGGCCTGTTTTTTGAATTGATTGGTGTTTTTATTTTTAATTATTCCTTTATGTCACAAAAAGTTAGGATTATTTGCATCCAGTTCGACTCCCCAATGTGAAATACTTACCTGAATGCCAATGTATAGATGTACAACAGTTATAGCGCAAGTTGGAGATTCATTATTCTAGATAGGATACACTGAATAAACTGAAAATAGAAAAAAAAAAAAAAAAAAAAGCAGCGTCGTTCCATTTTGGATCTCTCTTTTCTCCCCAGAGCCCAACTATCAGTACTTTCAGTACCTTAATTATTTCTTAACATTCATCTCAGATTTATGTTCACAGCACTGTGGCTAAATTATTTTATTTCTTAGCATCGGAATGAATATGCTCTCATTAGACAAGTTTTCTAGAAAATCTTATACAAGGTCTTATCTTGTCTTCGTTTTGGATCAAAATCTCTTGGGGTCCAAAATGCACATGATCGAAACCTCTAGGAACGACCACCCATGCAATATTATTGTGGAACTGCTACGAAATGCAGCTAAGGATTAAATTCATGTAAGTGCATTGTTTGTCTTTGTATGTCTAATAATTGTTTTTATTCTTTGAATGACAAATGGTACAAATCATTGTTGATATGGTTTATTTTTCCTAACAGGGGACTAGCCTAGCTTAGTAGCTAAAGTCGGTCTACAACGAGGTCGAGGGGCAACAATAAATAAGTAAACAGATAGCCTAAATAATAATGGGCCTTAGAGGAATAAAGGAAAAATGAATATTTGCACTTGTGTGAGAAATGTGGACAAAACAAGTGTCTTTTTTATTCATCGAATAAAAAATAGTCAAATAAATATGAACTAACCCCATACAATATAATATTTACAATATAAGTAGTAACCATGGCAACAAGAAAACGTTTCAATTTTAGAGGCTTTGTGAAAATATCCCTTGTACTACCGCAGTCACCTTTAAGACTGCTAGGAAGTGAAGTAATCTTGATTCAGAACGTTTAATTAAATATGACTGAAAAGGTGGGTGAGCCTCTTTTGATTTTTCTCCCCTTTTATATCGTGTCATTTAATGATAGAAACAGTAAAATAGCCTAGCTTATAGTTTTTGAAATGCATGCACAATGATTATCATGAATTACTCACTTTTCTTGTAATATAAATCTATAAGAAACGAACATAACGGGAACATATGAATAATGATGGGCTACATTGGCCTAAAAGCTTTGCTCATGCAGTGATGTAGTGCCCATCCGGTTATTGAGAGGTCTCTGGGTTGAGACCCAGTATGGCCAAGATTTTTCCCTGCCTGTTATATTAGGCGATCAACAACAAAATCCAGGGATAGTTTAGAAGAGTTGTGTTTTGGGTTTTCAAATGGACAATTGCATAAATTTACTTTTTAATTTAAGGTCAAGTTCTAGTATTAATGCCAGTACAGATTTATCAAATTTGAGAAATTAATTCCTTTAATGATGCTTTACAACTTTAGCTTGGTCAAATAAGGTGTTTTGGGCATAATTTCATTATTTGTAGGTAAACAAAATGTAAAACCATATCTTAAACTGTCATTTTCAATGAAAAATTTAGAAAACCATGCAGCCATGAATACGGGTTTTTTTTCATGTTCGACAAAGAAAGTGTATCCAGATTGCCTACAGTCTCTCAGGTAACAGTAATTTGTATGTTCGTGGCCTTTTCTTTAAAATGATATGAAATTTAGTATAGGTATCAGGATTATATTTTCATATGATTTCAAGTTCAATGCCATGAAAATACCCTATTTTCTTCATAATTCTGCTATAGCCGTAAAGTTTGGGAAAAAGAAAGTTGAAATTGATTATGATAGCATATTAAATTAAATATTGCAAAAAATTCATCACACTTTATTTGTAATAGTTTCTTTTAGTGAGCTTTTTAAAATCACTAAAATTACATCTCGCGAAAATAAAAAAACCCCAACTTTTAAGGACAAATTAAATTGCTAAAATTTGTACTTATACTGTACAGTATTAGTTAATTGTGGGACTTTGCCTTATATACTTAAAGATAACATTTGTTGAGGTGAGCTCTGTAATCTCTGAATACCTATGTTTAAATTTAGAAATATGTATTTATACACAGTTGTACAGGGTTCTCCATGCATATTGAAAGTTTAATTTAACCATGCACAAGTTCATTTCCGTCCATCCTACTTGACTTGCTTTGGATACTGGACTTGACCTACATTTTCCAGATAGCACAATCTGGTTAAAGTTTCTAGGCATGCAGGCTCTCTGATTGGTCTAGATGCCTTTTCCTGAGATGTACCTCAGAGTGAATTCACCTCATATGGGGTTTATTCAGGTTTTCCTTCTTGACCAACCATAGATTTGCCTACAGTTTTTTCGACCAATCAGATTGCGTGTTTTAAAGCATGTGTTGGTGTGAATGTAAACGGCTTGATGAATTTTCATGAAACTTTCAGGACTTATATATCATCACTTGAACCTTATGTGTTTTTTTCTTTTTTGATGACGTCACTTCTGGTCCTGAGATATTGCTGAATTACTGAATTTTAAAGGATCGGGTTGTCCAGAATTTTTCTGAGAAATGGGTGGGTTGAGATAGAAACATGAAACTTTCAGGTATGATAGACCTATGTCTGTAGATATGCCTTTCCCATTTCGCTTTTTCCGGAAACACCGAACGTCAGGGCTCGCTATGGTCCAAAAAAAGTCCTATCGGGGACTTAGAAATTTTTCACACCTTTTCTGCAATATCTTTTTACATGTTAATATTTTGTAAAGACATGTAGAACAAAAGTTGTAAAGAATGTCACTATCCTTCAATGGAAATCAATGATAAAGGGCTGGCCCTATAATTAAGGGCTGAGAGGGGCCAAAAGTTTTTCCTTTATATCTCCAAAAGTATTGAGAATTTGTAATACGGCAAAGAAGCAAAGTTGTTCAAAATGTCAAGCTTAATCTATTGGGGTCGTCAAAATATGTCCAGCTATGCACTTCCGGTCAAACTGGAAGTAGTCAAAAAATGCATATTTTTGCCGTTCTTGACATGCTTTTGGGTAAAAAATGTCACTGGAAGCATAAAATTTAATTCCAGTGAAACCGGAAGTAGTAAAAAATGGCTTTATTTTGCAATAATTAACAATCATAGATTTGGAGGATTTAAACCATTTTTGTACGTCATTACTCATTTTTTTTGAAAAATAAAACTTACTTCCGGTCAAACAGGACGGAAGACCTACTCTTTGCTTTGCAACAAGCTTTGCTCTAGTTGTATGTTATTTTTGATGGAAACAAGAACAAAAATGTCAAAAGTGTTGTAAAATTCCTTATCATTTAATAAAACGGTTATTGATTTTTGAATTCAGTCTACTCGTGACTATTATATGGACCTGGTCAGGTATTGGTTAACCTCAGCCTTCGGCCTCAGTCAACCAATACCTGACCAGGTCCGTATAGTCAGGAGTTTAGACCTCATCAAAAGTCAATAATTGTATAATAGAATCAACCTTGCATTCAATATTTATTATACCCCCGCTTGAAAAGCAGGAGGGTATATAGTAATCGGCATGTCCATCCATCTGTCTGTACGTCCATCTGCTACGCTTTGGGGTACCCATCTCTTATTCGCAACTAGCTCCTCTCATACCACTGAATGAAATTTGTTGAAACTTTCACAGAATCTTTATTACATAAATTGCCATTGTGCACCTCCTATTTTACTTTTTGATCTGACACATAGCTACACTCACCGTCAATAGAAACGCAACACCCTAATTTAAGGGGTGAAAATTATATACGGGATATAACTATGTACCAAAAAAATTAGGAAATCTTTTACTTTGCCAAATCAGTTATTTAACGGTTGAATGATTTTCATTCCATTACCGGAAGTTGATTTTTAGCCCCCTGAACAGAAATCAAAAATTAGCATTTTTAATAAAATTATTGTCTATATTTTGGGTTTTCAAGGTTTTGTACCTGTTAATTATAAGTCTTGTACTAAAAGTCAGGAAAAAATATCCTTCTTTCTCTTCCGGATGTGATGCCTGCATGTATTTCCTCAAAGTAACTGAAAGCACGCATTTTCATTGCTAATGTTGGAAATTTTCAAAATAAAGAAAAGGGAGAGCTACAGATGCAAATATACACTACATAACGACTTTTCGGGCTCATGTGTTTCAAAAGCATGAATGACGGTTCCTTGACCGGAAGTCCAAGGGTTACTACACTACGCCAAGTTAGAGAAAATTCGACCTCAGTATCTGAAAAACAGGCATTTAAAAAAGGACAAGAATATTTATTTCGCTCAGATTAAGACATTGATAAACTTAATGCATGGTAGAATTCGGGCTGCTTATGTTGTACATGGCGGACTAGCACGTTTTAATTGAATGGTCGGAAGGGGGGATGTTTTAGAGTTATGTGTTACTTTATAAGGTTTAAAGATAAGATTAAGAATGAATACATGAATGTAAAAAGTAAATTTACATAACAATGATGCTTCATTTAAACTTTAAATGTTATTTTTAGACCTTAGAAAGTAACACATAACTTTTAAAACATCCCCCCTTCCGACCATTCAATTAATTTTGTACAACATGAGCAGCGTTCTACCATGCACAATCTGAGCGAAATAAATATTCTTGTCCTTTTTTAAATGCCTGTTTTTCAAATGAAACACATGAGTTCGTTATGTAGTTATATTTGCATCTGTACTCTCCCTTTTCTTTATTTTGAAAATTTCCAACATTAGCAATGAAAATGCGTGCTTTCAGTTACTTTGAGGAAATACATGCAGGCATCACATCCGGAAGAGAAAGAAGGATATTTTTTCCTGACTTTTAGTACAAGACGTATAATTAACAGGTACAAAACCTTGAAAACCCAAAATATAGACAATAATTTTATTAAAAATGCTAATTTTTTATTTCTGTTCATGTTCAGGGGGCTAAAAATCAGGAATGAAAATCATTCAACCGTTAAATAACTGATTTGGCAAAGTAAAAGATGTCCTAACTTTTTTGGTACATAGTTATATCCCGTATATAATTTTCACCCCTAAAATTAGGGTGTTGCGTTTCTATTGACGGTGAGTATATTTTGGGTTTCCCATGGCAAAATATTGACACTGCCATTATATTAATATTTATGCCATCTTCAAAGAAGGGAGGGCATATTGCTTTGCTGCTGTCTGTCATTCTGTCGGTCCACTAAGTTTTCGATCATTTTCTTCACATCCGTTGCACACACTGAAATGAAATTTGTTATGCAGATATATCAGATGAATATCTAGTTCAAGTTATGTTTGGGGTACAATAGCGCCATTTTTGACAGAGTTATGCCCCTTGGACTTAGAAAAATTCCAATTATTTGCAGTTTCCATTCATTTTCTTCACATAGGTTGCACATACTGAAATTAATTTTAGTATACAGATTTATCAGATGAATATCTAGGTCAAATTCTGTTTTGGGTACTATTGCGCCATTTTTGACAGATTGATAACCTTTTGGACTTGGAAAAATTCCAATTGGGGGGAGGGGGGCATAAGTGTTTTACAAACATCTCTTGTTTTGTCTTATTTTTATTTTAGAGTTACTTCCCTTTGCCCATCTGAGTTGTTTACATACAGTATATGAGCAAAACATGTATTTTATAATCATATGGGGGGGGGGGGGGGCTGTCGTTTAGTGAGGTCAGTGCTCACAGTACCTCTAGTTTATTGATGATGTCTTCTGGACATTTTTTTTATGCTGGATTTGACCTATGATATGAAGATGAGTGACCAGATTTAAGTTATTGGAGTAGAATTATTTCTAAGAAATTATATGTTCTATTAAAAAAAAAAAAACTTGCAAAAGATGATGCATCAAGAGATGCTCACTTCCAATGTTTCTTCAGATGCTGAATTTGATATTCATTTTCCAGATAAATGACCTTGTGGAGTTTTTGGAGCATGTTCTTTCTTTTTCCACTGTAACCTCAAGCCTTACATAGACCAAACTATTATGAGTGATGCATCAAAGAATCAACACTCTTAGACATATTTCTCTGATTTTAGTTTTTCAGAGTTCTTTCAGTTTTTAGGTCACCTGAGTAACTCAGGTGACCTATTGCTATCCATTTTCGTCCGTCTTCGTCTGTCGTGCGTCGTGTGTTAACATTTGAACATTTTCAGCTTCTTCTCTTAAACCACTTAACCAATTTCAACCAAATTTGGTATACAGCATCTATGGGTGAAGGGGAACAAAAATTGTGAATTTTATGGTCCCCGCCCCCCTGAGGGGTGGGGCCAATACCACTAAAATTATTGCAATCGTTTAAAATCTTCTTCTTTCCTCCTGGACATCAAGCAGGCAAACTGTTGGCATGAATGTTTTTTATGAGCATTGAGTCCTCTACCAAAATTGAAATTCATGGCCCCAGGGTCAGGGGTTCTAGTGCTAGGACGGGGCTATATAGATTATATAGTGAAAATGCATGATTTCTTTGAAAATCTTCTTCTCTGCTCCTGGGTATTAAGTAAACTAACTAAGTACATAGTATATGATGAACAAGAGTGCCTCTTCCAAAATTGTGAATTTTATGGCCCCAGGGTCAGGGGTTCTGGTGTTAGGGCGGGGCTCTATTGTTTATATAGTGAAAATGCATTTATTCTTTGAAAATCTTCTTCTCTGCATCCTGGGTATTAAGGTAAAGTTTCTGACTAGATGGAATATTCAAAGTACAATTGTTGATATGTCTTATATATTTATATGTAAGAGATTTAAAAGAGCATATTTTTCTTTCCTCATCACAATTATACAACTTTAAATAGAAATGGTAAACTGCGTTTGAAAACTAGCAGGGACTATATTTTTGGCGGAATGGTGGCGTATGAAAATATCTTCTTTTCTGCCTCTCAAAATTATTATAGAACATTACTTAATATTTTTACGCAATCAAAGACTTGATGAAATTTTCAAATGTAAGTTAAACTAATAATAAGGGACTAAAGTTTCAAATATATCAAATAAATAAGATTTTTTACACATACTAGAACTATGTTGGCTTTTAAATGCATTAAATCTAAGTACAGATTTGAGCCAAAAATCCCTAAAGTGTTATTTCTCTCTTAGGATCAAAACTTTTAGTTTTTGTATCATTTTGTACCTTTATGTGACAACTTTACTATTTGTGAAAATTGGGAAAAGTTAAATATAGGAAGCATATAAAACTAACTAAAAAATCCTAAAAATTTAAGAAAAGTAGCGGCAAATATCCATTTTATTAAAATCATCCATGTCAATTTGGTAATATTATCATGTAGGCCCTATATATAGAAATACATTAAATCTTTTGAATTAATGCAGTAATTTTTTATTCTTAATGTCCAGGAAAAAGGTAATAACCTTGACCTGACCTTGCCTCTAATATTAAACGGTCAAATTTAACCTCACTGATACCATCACTTAGTGATATTGTCCTCTTGATTCTGTGAAAATTTCATTAATTTTTAAATACAAGAAATGTGAGAAGAATCCTACCTTAAATAAACTAACTAAGTACATAGTTATGATGAGCAAGAATGCCTCTTCCAAAAGTGTGAATTTTGTAGCCCCAGGGTCAGGGGTTCTGGTGTTAGGGCGGGGCCCTATTGATTATTTAGTGAAAATGCATTAATTTTTTGAAAACCTTCTTCTCTCCTCCAGGGTAGTAAATAAACTATGAAAGTACATAATTATGGTTGAGCAAGTGTGCTTCTTCCAAAATTGTGAATTTTATGGCCCCGGGGTCATGGGTTCTGGTGTTAGGGCAGGGCTCTATTGATCATATAGTGAAAATGCATTAATTGTTTGAAAATCTTCTTCTCTGCTCCTGGGTATTAAATAAACTATGTAAGTAAATAGTTATGATAAGCAAGAGTGCCGCTTCCAAAATTGTGAATTTTATGGCCCCAGGGTCAGGGGTTCTGGTGTTAGGGCAGGGCTCTATTGATCATATAGTGAAAATGCATTAATTCTTTGAAAATCTTCTTCTCTGCTCCTGGGTATTTATAAACTAACTAAGTGTTATGATAAGCAAACGTGCCTCTTCCAAAATTGTGAATTTTTTGGCCTCTGTGTCAGAGGTTCTGGTGTTAGGGCAGGGCTCTATTGATTATATAGTGAAAATACATTAATTCTTTGAAAATCTTTCCTTTGCTCCTGGGTTTTATGCCAATGATCCAATAATTAATATATATTTATGTCGAAGAAAGGTGCATCTAGCAAAATGGTTAATCTCATGCCCCCTGGGCGAGAGGTGTCGTGGGGGGGGGGTACATAGTCTGAAAATAAATTAATGCTTTTAAATCTGCTCTTTGGTATTAATCAACCATTTTATGATAAAATTTGCAAAATTTTGAAATATGTGGCCCCAAGGTCAGTGGTTCCTTTGGGATGATGTGCACAACTGGTTATAAAGTGGAAGTGCATTTTCTCTTTGTTACTCTGATCTACCTTTGGGTATTAAGTAAACAGAGCATGCTAAGTCTATAATTATGATAAGCAATGGTGCCTCTTTCAAAATTGTGAATTGCGGATTTCATGGCCTCTGGTTTAAAACACAAACCAAATATAATTGTTTGAAAGTTGTGACACAATACTCAGGTGACCTATAAGGCCCGTGGGCCTCTTGTCTTTTGAGTCTATTGTTCCCCAAAAGAGACATGTTCTTAAAAAGACTAGAGCTATCTGCACTGTAAAAGTTAATAAGAATATGAGTTCTTTTTGTTCTGTTAATGTAGACACTAATTTACTTTTCAATTCAGTTCTTCCTCAACCCACACAGTGCCTTATTCAACTGCTGATCTTGTCTATGGCGTTGAAACCAGTCAGTCTGACATAGTTGAAGGGAGATGCAACAGTTTTGTTGATGTAGCTGGAAGAGAATCAAGAGTCTCATCTTGTGAACTGAAAGAATCGGATTACAGACATTCCAGTGGCAGAGGAAGACGTGGAAAATCTGTATCTATTGAAAAAGGTAGGCCATTCCGTAGAATATAAATGGTTCCTAAAATATGTGTAATAAAAATAATTTCATGCATTCCCTTTTTAGCTCACCTGAGCCGAAGGCTCAAGTGAGCTTTTCTGATCACATTTTGTCCGTCGTCCGTCCGTCTGTTGTCTGTCCGTCTGTAATTTTCACATACTTCTTCTCAAGAACCACTGGGCCAATTTTGACCAAACTTGCTACAGAGCATCCTTGGGTAAAGGGGAATTTAAATTGTTAAAATGAAGGGACATATCCCCTCGCAAGGGGAGATAATCAAGAAAAGACAAAAATAGGGTTCTTCTCAAGAACCACTGGGCCAGTAAAGCTGAAACTTATGTGGAAGCATCCTGGGGTAGTGTAGATTCTAAATTGTTCAAATCATGACCCCCGGGGGAAGGGCGGGGCCACAATGGGGAATCAAAGTTTTACATAGAAATATATAGGAAAAATCTTTGAAAATCTTCTTCTCAAGAACCACTGGGCCAGAAAAGCTGAAACTTATATGGAAGCATCCTGGTATAGTGTAGATTCTAAATTGTTCAAATCATGACCCCCAGGGGAAGGGCGGGGCCACAATGGGGAATCAAAGTTTTACATAGAAATATGTAGGAAAAATCTTTGAAAATCTTCTTCTCAAGAACCACTGGGCCAGAAAAGCTGAAACTTATGTGGAAGTTGGTATAGTTAGATTCTAAATTGTTCAAATCATGACCCCCAGGGAAAGGGCGGGGCCACAATGGGGAATCAAAGTTTTACATAGAATCATATAGGAAAAATCTTTGAAAATCTTCTTCTCAAGAACCACTGCGCCAGAAAAGCTGAAACTTATGTGGAAGCATCCTGGTATAATGTAGATTCTAAATTGTTCAAATCATGACCCCCAGGGAAAGGGCGGGGCCACAATGGGGTATCAAATTTTTACATAGAAATATATAGGAAAAATCTTTGAAAATCTTCTTCTCAAGAACCACTGCGCCAGAAAAGCTGAAACTTATGTGGAAGCATCCTGGTATAATGTAGATTCTAAATTGTTCAAATCATGACCCCCAGGGAAAGGGCGGGGCCACAATGGGGTATCAAATTTTTACATAGAAATATATAGGAAAAATCTCTGAAAATCTTCTTCTCAAGAACCACTGCGCCAGAAAAGCTGAAACTTATGTGGAAGCATCCTGGTATAATGTAGATTCTAAATTGTTCAAATAATGACCCCCGGGGGATGGGTGGGGCCACAATGGGGAATCAAAGTTTTATATAGAAATATATAGGAAAAATCTTTGAAAATCTTCTTCTCAAGAACCACTGGGCCAAAAAAGTGAAGCTTATGTGGAAGCATTCTGGGGTAGTGTAAATTCTAAATTGTAGGAATCATGACCCCCGGGGGAAGGGCGGGGCCATTATAGGGAATCAAAGTTTTATATAGAAATATATAGGAAAAATCTTTGAAAATCTTCTTCTCGGGAACCACTGGGCCAAAAAGCTGAAACATATGTGCCCATGGAAGGATCATGTGGTAGTGTAGATTTCAAAATGTCTAAATTATGATCAGTGGGGTAGGGTGGGGATGCATTATGTATAACAAGGGTGAAATCTGGTAAAGAACAGAATGGTCAAAGCTTCTCAGGTGAGCGATGTGGCCCATGGGCCTCTTGTTAGCTTACCTGAGCCGATGGCTCAAGTGAGCTTTTTTGATCAAAATTTGTTTGTTGTCTTTTGTTGTTGTCATTGGCATCGTTGATGAAACTCATGTAGAAGCATCCTCAGGTAGTGAAGATTCAAGTTTGTTCAAATCATGACCCCAAGGGTTAGGATGGGGCCACAATGGGGGGTAAAAGTGAAACATAGGAATACATAGGGAAAATCGTTGAAAATCTTCTTCTCAAGAACAACTAGGCAAGGAAAGATGAAACTCATATGGAAGCATCCTCAGATAGTGTAGATTAAAGTTTTTGTTCAGATCAAGACCCCCAGGGGTGGGCTGAGGCCAAAATGGGGTATCAAAGTTTAACAGGAATACATAAGAAAAATGTTCTCAAGAACAGCAAAGCCATGGTTCATTGATGAAACTCATATAGATGCATCCTCAGGTAGCATAGATTCAAGTTTGTTCAAATCATGACCCCCAGGGGGTAGGGTGGGCCCAAATGGGGTATCAAAGTTTAACATGGGAATACAAAGGAAAAATCTCTTAAATCTTCTTCTCAAGAACGGTAAAGCCATGATTGTTCATAGCTATATGTCAGCATCCTCTGGTAGTGTAAATTCAATCATTTTGTTCAAAGCATGACCCCAGGGGGTTTGATGGGGCCAAGAACAACAAAGCCATGATTGAACATCAAAATAAAAGCACCAAAAAAAAAGATTTGAGTTTGTTCAAATCCCCCCCCCCATCCAAACCACTTTTTTTATAATGTAAACTTTTTATGCGCTAGGATCCATAGATCTGGGGCGTATATTGTTTTTGTCCTGTCTGTCTGTGTGTTTGTCTTCAAACTTGAACCTTCTCTATAACTTTTGAACAATGAAAGATAGAGACTTCATATTTGGTATGTGTTCTCCACTAATTAAGCTCTTCCAAATGACACCAAGGCCAATAACCTTGTGACCTTGACTGTGACCTATATACTAAAAATAGCTTTTTGTCTGCAAATTTTAACCTTCACCATTACTTTTAACCATGAAAGATAGAGACTTCATATTTGGTATGCATACTCCATGAATTAAGTTCTCTCAAATGTTACCAAGGTCATTGACCTTGTGATGTTGACTGTGACCTACATACTATAAAAATAGCTTTTTTGAATCTTCACCATAACTTTTGAACCATGAAAGTTAGAGACTTCATATTTGGTATGCATACTTAACTAATTAAGCTAAAAATTGCTTTTTTCAAACTTTGTTGCCGCCAGGCGCATAGTGTTTTACAAACACATCTTGTCAATCCTGAATTGATTTTTGTTTTTACCTAGTTAGTTGCTCATGTGAGCGATGTGGCCAATGGGCCTCTTGTTCATGATTTTTTCAAGATCATAACACTATTTTTACGTTTGTTCATAAATATATGGCACATTACTGGCCTAATTTCAAATATGACTGCTGCTAATTTTTATAACCCCGCTTGAAAAGTTGGAGGGTACATAGTTATTGTGATGTCCATCCGTTCATTTGTCTGTCTGTACATGCTTCCATCTATACGTCCGTTTGTTAAGCTTTGGGGTACCCATCTCTTATCCGCAACTCTTTTCATACACTGAATGAAATTTGATGAGACTTTCACATAATTTTTATTACATATTGCCATTGTGCACCTCCTTTTTTACATTTTGATGGGAGACATATTTTGGGTTTTCCATAGCAAAACATGGACTCTGCCATCATAGTTACATGGGAGGTGGAGGGTGTCATGTAATGAGCTCATTGCTCACAGTATCTAGTTTCAATTAAAGCGACAGTATGGCGCATCTCTTCAAAAACAGACTTGTTAAAATTTTCTGATAGGATTTGGTATTTTTTTTCATACTCATAAATGTATACACTTTCAGTAAATTACAATTTAATAAGTAAATAATTCTGATTATTTCATTAAATTTAATAATTATTTATGGTACATAAATATATACATCGCAACTTGTTCGAGGTTCCACATTCCAGGCTATACACACATGCTTATAGTTTTCATAAACAAAACAACATGGTAAGAGAAGGAAGCCCGGTAGGCCTGCTATATTGACAAAGTCGCCCAAAACGAAAAACAAAACCAAAAATAGGGCTTGAAATTAAAAAGCAACTTTCCTGATAAAATTTAGTTGGGAGATTAATATAATCATTGGATGAAGAAGAAACGGGATCTCGGCGACATTCATGTGGGGCTCGCGAAGGTTCTACCCTACAGGGTTGTTGATACATGTACATGCTATCATTTCTCATATCTCCATGGCTTTCAAAGAAAAAAAATCAGTATAAACTCAACATAAAAATGCACTTATGACATATAAGATTATTGCCATTTTAAGTGCAAATTGTGTTGGAACTACAGAAACATATTTTGTTTGACATTTTGCCGCGATGACGTGTGATTTGGTGGATTTTCCTTTCCTGCACCCCAAAACACAAAACGTCAACATTTGTACTTAAGGTCAAGATCTAGTAAATAACTTGAGACTAATTTTTTGGTGCTAGATCCATTATGACGTCATAATCAATTTCAACTTTCTTTTTCCCGTACTTTAAAATGTTATGGTGTTTTCATGTCATTCAATTTGAAATCATATGAAAAGTAAACCGGATACCTATATTAAATTTTATATTGATTTAAAGAAGAGGCCATGAACATACTAATTACCGTTTTCTGAGAGACTGTAGGCAATCTGGATACATTTCCTTTGCCGAATACTTAAAAAACTCCCATATTCATGACTGGTTTTCTTAATTTTTCAATGAAAATGACAGATTAAAATGCAGTATTTCATCTTTTTTACCTACAAATTATGCCCCGAAACACCTTATTTGACCAAGCTAAAGTTGTAAAGCATTAATAAAGGAATTCATTTCTAAAGTTTGATAAATCTGTAAATTTACCTTGACCTTAATCATTGTATGCACGTTAACTATTATTAATTTACCGCCATTATTCCATTATAATTGTAAACCCTACCTTGTATGCACGTGCCATTTTAGAATTCACGTGGTACAAGTAAACAGATCTAAGTTGTACGACCCTTGATTTTCTGGCAGATTCTAATTAAGTTAATTTTGTATGAGGAGAATATATTAAATGCTTATTTCAACTTTTTACCTTATTCCTGAATGATATATTGGGTAAATTTGAATGAAAAAGCACATGATTTGCAGCCGTATTGCCACTTTAAGTTATATTTGTTTTACATAATATGCTTGTACAGTGCCTTAGAGTTTAATATATAGGGCACTTTTGAAATGTTTAATAAAAATAATAAATAAGCGTGTTTGCTTTAAACATGTTTTATACTGTATCTTGTTTTATATTTGTTCTCTTTAAATATCTTTTCAGTTAATTTCTGCAAGGAAACTGATGATAATTTTGGACCCCCTCAATTTTTTCCTCCAACGAAACATATCCAATGTAGACCAAATGCAGTTAGGAGCAATATTAGAGGAGATCCTATGTACAGTATGAGGACAAACAGTCTGGCTTCAGGTATCTCTAAAATCAAGGTTTCATATTCTATTCAAAGGGCTCTATGCAAAATACAGTAAAACTCGTTTAGTACGAACAGGAATATAGCGAATTCACGGATGTAGTGAAGTTTTTCAGGGTCCTCAGCATATCTTTGCCTCATACTCAATCGTCTTCCCCCGTTATGAGATAACAGCACATGCTACACAGAATTGTCCTCAAGCGGATATGTGGCAATCATCCAATTATAGAAACGCCAAGACCCGTGTTTTTATTGCAGTTTTTCAGATCCCTTTGTGTTTATACTGGTATAATTAATTGAATTGAAACTGACATGATAACATGGAAATTAGCTCGAAATCAAGTTTAAAATATTTATTTGCTTTAAGAATTTAATTTTTAAAAACTTACGACATGCATATTAAAAAAATTAGGTCATCAAAATCATTTACATTTATTATAATAATCTCTGAAAAATTACATTTACACGTGACACCACAATTAAGTTCAGGCCATGTAAAAATAATTTTTTAAAAAGTAAATTACTTTAATTTTTTACTCGTGAAAGATTCACAGATTGTCTCAAGCTTCTGTTTGAACGGACTGGTGTGCGTTGATCAGCCACCTCACATGACTTGACCTCAGTGTTGATAATCACAGATGTATGTATACCGTTTGTGTTGATGGAGTCTGACTTCATTCCCCCTTTTAAAAGAGTTTATTTGAAGTTGATGTATGTAACCCTCAAGAATTATTTCATGATAATTCATAATTTTGTGAGCTGGTGAGAACGTACCGCATACGTACATGTATAATGTTCCGAGTCATTTTTTTGTTTTTGTTCTCTGAAAAAATTGTATATTCATAAGGCAGACAAATTTTAGCAAAATAATAGTATTTTTTTCTCATATATTTAGTGCAGGTTACAATATATATTTTTGGCATTCAAAGAACCCAGGTAATTTTTTACCCGTGGATCAAACTGATGTTATGATTCCGCGGAATTATGACTCCATGGAAATAACTACGTCTACAATATTAGGTAATATTATTGATGGAAAACTTGCATATTGCGAACTCGCTGTATATAGTTACCAGTATACAAATTCATTATATGGATATAATGAATTACGGATATAGGGAATTAAATTCACAGGTCCCACAGACTTCATTATAATCTAGTTTTACTGTACCAGTAAGTCTGTCTATAATCCAGTGATAAGTTTGGCCATCTTTGACCCATTTTCACTTAAGGACATCGTAGTATGAATTTTGTCTTTTCCCCTAACGTTGAAGAATTCCAATAATTAAAGGAACTGTGTGATGCATGTTTAAATGTCTATACATGCTGTTGTATACTACTACTGAAACAAATTTTGATAAACAAAACATCTGGAATATGAGTTGCGTCAAGTGAAAAGGGACCATTGTGACCAAATTTTCGAAAATTGGTTTTTCACCGTTTCTGAAAAAGCAGTTTTTCTGAATATTTTGATACCAAATGTTTTGTTATATACCTTTTAAATTCTTATTAAAACTCGATATGAAAACAATGCAATGCTTACAAGATAACCCTGTAAAATGTTGAATAATGTCGCATAACGTCAATGATAACTGGAGGATCATTACTAAATCACCCTTTTGTATTAGTTAGAAATTATTTGTTTTAGATGTAATTTCAAGTTTTTTCAATATGTATTTCTCCAAATATTAGCATTTTTATGATTGTATACATTGTACGAGGGTTATCTGGTGAAATCATGGACAAGTTGTCTATAGTGAAAAATAATTATCACTATGTTCTAAAATTTTCACTACTCTTCAGAACAAATTTCATCAATATGCACAGCAAATTTCAAATAAATATTTGCATAAATAAACAAATTATGACATTTTATGTTATGTACTGTATCGTCTTATGACGCACAGATTATAGCGTCAAAGTGTCTAAAACAGCGTCACGTTTCCTCTTTGCTAGAAAGAAAGTTAGATAAGTCCCACTTCAATTTAAGAATTTCATTAATACACATACTTAAGTTTCTCTTCATTCCTCCATAAACAGTTGATGAACCAGTCTGAAATGCACAATGCGATTTTTTGAAGATTTATTCGTGAGTTACAGACAGTATTCTCACTGACATTAAACTAAGTTGTAAACCAAGTATTATACGCGTGCGATAAATATCCGCGAGTTCCGCGAGTAACCTCTTCTCGCGGATATTTATCGTCGCGAACCAGTTGTTCATTTTCCCATGTTATGATTAGAGTTATTTGCCCTTTTTGAATACCGATCCCGAGTTAGAGATAGCCTGGTCAATTACGACTAATTATGGCCCAGTCCTGTTCCATCCCAACCGTTTATAATAATTGCCCTTTGGCTATGTAGATCTTGTAAAGCGTCAATTACCAAATTAGCATGAAGTACATTTACACCTGAGAGTTTAAAATCAACTTTAATCTCTCTCGATTTTTTTCCCGATTTTCATTCTAGCGTCATGAATAATGCGTAAGAAGTATACTCATGGTAACATTTTATCTACTTTAGGTGTGGATATAAGATTTTAAATGGACGCAATGCACAGAATGTCTTGAATGATAATACGTAAGCAGTACTCACGATAGCATTTTACCTAGTTTATGGGTGGATATAAAATTTTAATTTGATACAAAAAAATACTTGTGGAAATAAAAAAAATGACCATTTGTTTAGTTCTCTAGCGGATTAGTTCTCTAGCGGTCATTTGCGAATAAAAAATGACGTGTATAATAATTGGTTTACAGTAATTAGGCAATTAATCTGATATCCACGTTCGACAGTGAAAGCGTCTTTCGTTATTACCGTTCAAAGTATTGTTATTTCTTTTTTGCTATAATCAGCAAACCCACCTCCACAAAAACAAACCCAGAAGGCAGTACCTTCATGTATTTTTAATGGAATGATACAGTTGTACTTCCCTGAATTAATGATTTTTTAGGGAATAGGTGAGGTGCAATTTTCATGCATTGCTATTTTTTACCTTTCAATTATTTCACACTTATTTAAAAACGATGTCCTTCTATTTTATTTCAGTTGAAATTTATATTGAAATGTAGAAAATCTGCATATTCAAAATAGAACATGAATTTTATTTAGCTTATTCTTTTTCTTAGATGTTATCTTGTAAAATGAAAGTAATTTTTTTAAGATTGAGTCCATAAAAATATCCTTATATAGTTACTGATATGATTGAGATTGACCTGTGAAGCTTGTATATTTTTCTTGTACTTTTGATATGTAAGCCCAACTATCATACTCATATTTACAATAATTCAAGCAAAACAATGATTAAATTTGGTTCCTTCACATTTTTAGGTCACCTTAGTCACTCAGGTGACCTATTGCTATCCATTTTCATCTGTTGTTGTGTGTCGTGTGTTAAGGTAGCTGGTCTGTACTTTCAAAATTTTCTGTCAAACTGATAATTTTTTAATTTGAATACCTTGAATAAGTCAAACTCACTCAAACACTAATAAAAGACATATCTTTGCAGGTTACCTTTCATACAACAAACCTCTAAAAATTCAACAGCCAAAATTGAATATAAAAAAAGTCTTTCAGAAAAAAAAATCTAAAAATATCATTGTTTTTAATAATTCTCAAAATCTAAACTGTTTATGTGCCAATTTTTTCTTTAAAACTATTAAGAATTATATTTCAGGTTAACAAAAACAGTTACGTGTTAGGATGGCCCTCCTCTATTGGGGGAGGGGGGTACATAGTTTGAAAATATATTAATGCCCAGGGTCCGTGGTTCCTTTGGGGTGGGGTGCACAACTGGTTATAAAGTGGAAGTGCATTTTCTTTTTGTTACTCTGATCTACCTCTGGGTATTAAGTAAAAAGAGTAGGCATGCTAAGTTTATAACTATGATAAGCAATGGTTCCTCTTTCAAAATTGTGAATTTCATGGCCTCTGGTTTAAAACATGAACCAAATTCAATTGTTTGAAAGTTGTTACACTATACTCAGGTGACCTATAAGGCCAGTGGGCCTCTTGTTTTCTATTCTAATTTTGGCATTAAAGTTGACTGTTCAGATTTAAATTCTTATATAGAGACAAATTCATGGACGGGTTCATTGCTGGGATATACATCTGTCTTTTAAAAGCAGAATTTTCAAGATTGAGCCCATTAAGTGCCGAGTATAGAACTACCTTAAGTCAAAAAATGTAAATATTGTTGTAAAAATGTTCATGGAAGAAATTTAAATTAACATGAAAGAAGTGCAACTTGTTTTCTTTGTGAAGTATATAACAGAATATTGCCAATTTATGTATTTAAAAAATTTCAATAAAATAAAAAAAATCCTACCTAATAAGCTACCAATCCTATTTTATCTCAGTATGTAACAGAAAAGGAACATTTTTTTGTTTGGCATTATACTTAAACAACTTTTTCTAGACTTCATTTAATATCAACCAAAAGGAAATTTAAACTATGATGTAATCTCATCTGCTTTTTGAAGTGATCAAAGAAGAAAGTTGTGGTGTATGGATAACAGCTGCAGTATCATGTCAATGTATTCTAATATGATAAAAGGATTTATAAATGCTTTGAAACTGTGCAGCTAGTAATTAAGATACCATTTATTGATACAGTTCTTTATGAATTTAAATGCTACATGGTTGATTAAATTCTCATCAAGTATTAAATTTCAACAAATGGCACTAGAAGACATATTTATATGTTGAGTATTTATTTTGTAAGACATAACAATTAAATCTTTTTTAGGATCAAACAATGTGAAGGCTCTCCTTCAGATTTAAAATAGGAATAGAAACATTTCATTGTATGCTGTTCATCATATGTTTAAGTGTTAATGTATATGATGGCCAATTTTAGTATTGTGCTGAGGGATTTAGAGGAACAAGATGAGTTTCATCTGCCTAGAATCAATGCTAGTGTTATTAAACACCTTTTATGGTACAAATCACACACAAGTGAGTTAAAATTTCTATTGTTCTGCTAATTTTGAAAGCCATTATGACTCTTGGAGGTTAAACTTTTAGGGTGTCAAAGATGATTTTTAAGGATCAAAATGCATTCTGGTTCTGCTTTTGGTAGTAATGCTTGCTATACATTGAAACACATACAGTTTTATATTGTATGTGCTTTTAGATTTTGAACAAGCACTCTACTAAGTTAACCCAGATTATTTGTGTTTGCATGATGAAGTATTATTTTAAAAGTCAACATGAACATGTACATGACTGTACTTGTGTATTTGTAGAGAAAGTTTCCTCAGTTGTGAAAATTAATTGTAGGGATTGATTTCAAACTCTTGACTCATCAATAATAGATGATGCCAATAAGTTGAATAACTGTTGATTTACAGATAATTCATGATTTTCCAAGAATGTTTTTTCCATGCAGCTGTTTAAAATTCTCTCTATCTCAAACTTGGAACATGGAGAGATTGCATAAATAAAGGGTGAATACCAACATTTTTTCAACTTGACCTATTAATAAAGTCAAGGTTAATCTTTTACCTGAAAAAATAGTCCAGGTCATTACTTGAGAAGTGTTTGCCAAAGGAAAGACAACATTTAAGACTAAATGCCTTATATATACATCAAAATGTTAGACCTTGACCCCTTGCTTCATTAAAGGTTAAATTATTAAAAAAACTGGAACAGCTAGATCATAATTGAAGATCATTTTTACATGAAGATATTTTGTACACAATGAAGTAGAGCTGAGGTGCACAGCATTATTATATTTGCCCCTGATCTTTATATTGAATTCATTAATTTTGGTAAGGAATGGGAGACATGTTATTTGTCAAAAAAACAAAAAAAACAAAAACAAAAACAAACAAAAAAAACAATACCCACTCGTTTATTATTATTGTTGTGCTTCATAATAATTCATAAGTGAAAAAAAATTCTCATAGGATTTTCTGACTGAAAAAAAAGAAAACTTAACAGGAATTTGTTTTTGTGTTTTTAGCTCACCTGAACTAACAGCTCAAGTGAGCTTTTCTGGTCACCCATTGTCTGTTGTCCATCCGTCCGTCTGTAAACTTTTCACGTTTTCAACTCAAGAACCACTGGGTCAATTTTTACGAAACTTGGTACAAAGCATCCTTGGGTCATGGGGAGTTTAAATTGTCAAACTGAAGGGCCAAGTCCCCTTACAAGGGGAGATAATCAAGAAAGGGTATATAGTAATCGTTATGTCCGTCTGTCCATCTGTAAGTCCGTCCGTCCGTTTGTTACGCTTTTGGGTACGCATCTCTTATCCGCAACTCCTCTTATACTACTGACTGAAATTTAATGAAACGTTCACAGAATCTTTATTACATATTGCCATTTTGCTTCTCCTATTTTACCTTTTTATTCGACACGTATTTTAGGCTTCCCATAGCAAAACATGGACATTGCCATTATACTCTTACCTATGACGTCACATATGGCAGCTTCTGAATAACATTTGATACGACGAGTTTTTCCTCTTTACACATTACCGTAAAACAATTATACAGCAAAACATGGACATTATGGGAGGCAGGGGGTATCATTTAGTGAGCTCAATGCTCACAGTACCTCTAGTTTAGTTTTGTTTTCAATTTGTCGTAAGACATTACACATAAACACATCAGAATTCAGACTGAATTTAATTATAAATGTACGAGGTTTATGTACAATTTAGCATGCACTTTGTATTAATCTACTTGATTCTTAAAGACTTGAAGTCATTTGCAAAGAATTATGCTGAAATTACACAATGTTGTCTTTGTGATGTAACTGATGTCATAATCAAATGTGCACAAAACAACTGCTCGAATCGTTGAAATTGTTTTCCAAAACTGATGACAAAAGCAAACCCGCGACCTACCTTAAGCTTGTTCGAATCCCTTCCCTCTCCTCTCCCCTAAGCAAAATACCTCTCTGAGTGATGTGGCTCCTGGGCCTCTTGTTTTTTTTCTAAAATTTGTTTACAGATTTAAAAAAACTTTAAAATCTATAAGGAAGAGGAAAAAAACCCTAAAGTTTTCGAAGTTGATGCAAATATATTTTTCTCTGTTAGAGCATGGCTTGCGATACATTCTGTTTTTATGTCCCGTATTTAATAGACTGCCATGTTTTGATTTAATTATGGTTGTTAAAAATTGAGATGGCTGACTTATATGGTTGAACTGCAGGGGCGTAGCTTGAATTTAAGTTCTAGTGAGGCACAGCTATTGTGGCCGGGGGTCTGGGGGCCGCCTGGCCCCCAGCAGGTCCAGGACAGAGCCCTGGTGGGGGGTTCTTCGAAGTTGTTGGTTTTAGAATGTAAAAATGGCACTTGTCCTGGACAGAAATTTCGTATTTTTTCCGGTTTTATGACTTGCAACATTCATATGATACAATAGGTACATACTGTATTTCAACATGTTCAAAGTATTTGATAGAGTAAAAAAAATGTTTATTAAAACTTTTTACTCATTTCGGGACAAAAAAATATTTAAATAAAATTGAATTGGGCATTATTTGGAAAGATAATAAGATTATTCATTACTTTACAGTTTACAGGGTTTGTAAAATACTTGATGCCGATTCTAAAAAGGGTGTCAACTTTGCCTGCCCCTTGTTTTTGTGGTCCATATTTATTTTTCCAAAAGATACTTTAAAGAGCCCGATCTCACGAATTTTGACTCAGAACCACTACAATAATTTATAGATTTATTTAAATGATGAGAAATAAAACACTTATGTTTTAAGATTGATTGATTGTATACTGTTTAACGTCCCTCTCCAGAATATTTCACTGATATGGAGACGTCACCATTGCCGGTGAAGGGCTGCAAATTTAGGCCTATGCGCGGGACTTATGGCCTTAGAGCAGGGAGGACTCTTTATCGTGCTACACCTGCTGTGACACGATACGGTGCCGCCCCATGTCGCCTTTTACGACAAGCAAGGGGGTTTAATTATGTTTTAAGAAATAAATTAAATATTTTCTGCGATGAATTATCAAAATTATGGGAAGGGGAAAGTTGGCTGAGGCAGTTGCCTCATTGCCACAATGGAAGCTTCGCCCCTGAACTGAATATTAAAATAAATGTTGTCTGAACCCTCCATGTTGTTCAAACACATAATTGGTTTTTCTAAAGATCAATGATAAAAACATTCTTTTTATTGGTATGTGTTAGTATACTTTTGATATTGAAAGCTTTTTTTCACAGGAAGAGATACTGAGGATTTAATTGCAATGGGAACAATATGGAGTCCAAATGCTCAAACACCTGCAAAACAGTTAAACAGCAGCGCAAGTAGTGCTAGTACTGTCACAAACAGTGCTGTTACAAACGTCACTGGCAGAAATATGCAAATGTATACAACACAAGGATCGAACAGTTCAACAGGAATGCCCCAGACTTGTAGAGGGCGCTACACCATATCAGGAATGAGACCAATACTGGTTCAAACATCAAGAAACTCCAATATGAAAGATGGTATTTGTCGAATTTTCTGGATTTCGTAGATGATTATTGAAACTCTGTTAAATGCTCGAATATCAGATAAGCATTAATTACCCTTGGTCCACCTTCTGTCTGTAAACTGTACTCAATATGCTAATCTTACTAGATATGTTGTCAAAATTCAATTAAGTACAGTTCAATAAACACTCATTAAATGTAGAGACTATATATACTGAAACGCATAAGAAAAGCAACAAGCAGTAATCTACAAATGTTTGAATTTTTTTATCTAATAATTTTCAAAAAAGAATACAGTTAGGCTAAACTCACTTTTCAGAACATCAGAGATTTGATAAAAATGTTAAATGTTTATCTTTTAACTTTACTAAGTAACATATGACTGTTTAAACACCCCCTCCCAGCCATTCAATTACAACGTGCAATACTGCCCTAAACAACAATTGCAGCTTAATTTCTACAATACAATAAGCTAATCAATATCAAGATCTGAAAGAAGGAATTATTCTTTGCCATTTTTTTAAATGACTGTTTTTCAGATGATTAAGTTGAATTTTCTCTAACTTAGCACATTGTAGTAACCCTTGGATTTCCGGTCCAAGGACTATCATTTAAGCATATGTTACATAAGACCCTGTTCAGGTGTGATATAGTGTATTTTTGCATCATCAATTCTCCATCACCATTACTTTGAGATTTTCTAGCGAGACAATGGAAATGCATACTTAAGCCATTTTCAAGAAGCCTTAGCATCGTTACGGGAAACGAAAGGAGATTTTATTTTTGGAAATATTGCTGCATTACTTAAGATAAAGATTACAAACCCTTAAAACTCCATAATATTGCCAATTGTTTAGTTAAACATGCAATTTTTTATATCTGTTAAGCAGACTCAAACTTGACTTCCGGTTATGGTATGAAAATTGTTGAACTGTTTAATTACCGATATTTACCAAATCAAAGATATCCATAATTTTGATATACAAAATTCTTTACTTTACAAAATTATTTCCCCCTTAAGTAGGGTATTGCGTTTCTTCTGTGTTTCAGTATACTAAGAAACATACATGCTAACTTTTGAAAATTGTCAGGGGAAGATGTCATAATCATAATAACATTTATTTCATATTTTTAGGTCACCTGAGTCACTCAGGTTACCTATTGCTATCAGTTTTAGTCCGTCGTCGTGCGTCGTGTGTTGTGTGTCGTGCATCGTGTGTAACCTTTGAACATTTTCAGCTTCTTCTCTGAAATCACGGAACCAATTTCAACCAAATTTGGTATACAGCATCTATGGGTAAAGGGGAACAAAAATTGTGAATTTAATGGTCCCTGCCCCCTGGGGTCTGAGGGGTGGGGCAGGACTGTTGGCATGAATGTAATGAGCATTGAGTCCTCTACCAAAATTATGAAATTCATGCCCCTAGGGTCAGGGGTTCTAGTGCTAGGGCATGCTATATAGATTATATAGTGAAAATGCATTATTTCTTTGAAAATCTTCTTCTCTGCTCCTGGATATTAAATAAACGTACTAAGAACATAGTTATGATGAGCAAGAGTACCTCTTCCGAATTTGTTAATTTTATGGCCACATGGTCAGGGGTTCTGGTGTTAGGGCAGGGCTCTATTGATTATATAGTTAATATGCATTAATTCTTTGAAAATCTTCTTCTCTGCTCCTGGGTATTAAATAAACTAACTAAGTATATAGCTATGATGAGCAAGTGTGCCTCTACCAAAATTGTGAATTTTAAGGCCCCTGGGTCAGGAGTTCTGGTGTTAGGGCGGGGCTCTATTGATTATATAGTGAAAATGCATTAATTATTTGCAAATCTTCTTCTCTACTTCTGGGTATTAAATAAACTAACTAAGTACATAGTTATGATGCGCAAGAGTGCCTCTTTCAAATATGTGAATTTTATGGCCCCAGGGTCAGGAGTTGTGGTGTCAGGGCAGGGCTCTATTAATTATATAGTGAAAATACATTAAATCTTTGAAAATCTTCTTCTCTGCTTCTTGGTTATAAGGAGATGAACTACCTATATGGTTATGATGAGCATGGGCCCTTCTTCCAGAATTGTGAACTTCAAGGCCCCTGGGTCCGGGGTACCATAGAGGGGGGCTCTAATTATACTCTGAAAATGAATAAATTGTTTGAAATCTGCTCCTTCGTATTAATCAAATATTTCAGATAATATAAGCTATGGTGCCTTTTCAAAAATTATGCAATGTGTGGACCTAGGGCCAGGGGTTTATGTGTGGTAGAGGCACTATTGATTATTGCTGAATATCGCTGATTAGTTGAAATGCATTTTTGTTCCCCTACCCTGCTTATGGGTATTAAGTAACCAAACTAAGCAATTGCTAAGTGTATAGTTATGATTAGCAATGGTGCCTCTTTCAAAATTGAGAATGTCATAGCATCTAGCTTAAAACATGAACCAAATTCAATCATTTGAAAGTTGTTGCATGATGTTCAGGTTACCTATAAGGCCCATGGGCCTCTTGTTGATCAAAATCATTATTTGTCATATTCCGGTATCCATTAACTTGTTAAGGCTCATAATTGTGTAGATTATTTAGGGACTATTTATAGGCTATATAATGAATTATTTCACTGTTGAAAATGTAATAAAACATGATATGAAATTTTGGGGAATTCTCATGCCTATCACCATACCATGTCATTGACAAATGATCTTATGTATACAAGTTATTGTCTATGACATCTTTCCCAGAAAAATTGGTAGGTACCCAGTATTCTTAAGATTAGCTAGATAATTTTTAGCTCTTCTGAACCGAAGGCTCAAGTGAGCTTTTCTGATCAAAATTTATCCGTTGACTGTCTTTGTTGTTGTCATTGTTGTTGTTGTTGTCGTAAACTTTTCACACTTGCATCTTCTTAAGAACCACTGGGGCCAATTTCAACCAAATTTGCCACAAAGTATCCTTAGGTGAAGGGGATTCAAGTTTGTTCAAATGACAGGCCGTGCCCTTTTCCAAGGGAAGATCATTATGAATAAGTGAAAAATTTAATGGCAAAGAACTCTATCTCTTGATTCCCGCCTACATTTTGCACTCATTAAATTCAATATTAATGGCAATTTGGCCATTAAATCTTTGTTTAATACAAAGAACAGTTATATGGTAATTGATTTATTATTTTAATTCCAGCGCTAAATAGTAAATTATCATTAATTCCAGCTCTTGAAAAAAGGGGGGTAGACGATATTTTCTAGTGAAATCGAACTTTCAAGAATCACCATATTTTGAAATAGTCTTAAATATGATAAAATGTATCTGATATCTTTTCTCATGTTTTACGCAAATAAATAAAACGTATATAAATTAATAAAATACAATTATTTAGTTGTAAATAGCTTTAAAATTGGTGAAAAATCAGCATATTTTTCGTTTTTTGTCTATAAACATATGTTCCCCCCCGTGAAACACAAAAAGCTTTGGCATAAATTCGTAGAATGACAGTCCATATTACCAGTAAAAAGGAATTTCTGTTTCACGGGGGGGAAAGATGTTTTAAAAATATTTTCCGTTTTCCGTTGATTTCTATAGTGAAAAACACAAGTTTTACCAAAATTATAGAGTTATATCTCTTTGATATCCCAAATAAGTAACGTTTTATGAAAATTCATATAATTATCTATTAAAATTCTGAAAATCATTCGAATATGTTTACTATTGAGAATTGACTTAGAGGTAGGCGGGAGAACAATACTATCGTTCGTAGTTCTTATTGGCATATACAGTGTATTAAAAATCTTCTTCTCAAAACCACTAGGCCAGGAATGAGGAGAGATGAATCTCATGTGGAAGATCCCCAGGTATTGTAGATTCAAGTTTGTTGAAATCATGACTGCGGGGGGTAGGGTGGGGCCACAATGTAGCATCAAAGTTTAAGGTAGGATTCTTCTCTGGTTTCTGACTAGATGAAACATTCAAAGTATATTTGCTTATATGTCTTATATATTTAGGTGTAAATAATTTAAAAGACCATATTTTTCTTTCCTCATCACAATTGTACAACTTAAATTAAATAGAAATGGTAAACTGTGTTTGAAAACTAGCAGGGACGATATTTTTGGCGTAATGGTGGCGTATGAAAATATCTTCTTTTCTGCCTCTCAAAATTATAATAGAACAAAGAAATTAGTAATAATTTTTACACAATCGAAAACTTGGAGAAATTTTTAAATGTAAGTTAGATTAATAATGAGGGACTAAACTTTCAAAATATATCAAATAAATATGATTTTTCAATCAAACTAGAACTTTATTAGCTTTTAAATGCTTCCTATCAAAGTGCAGATTTGAGCCAAAAATCCATAAAAAGTATTTTTTCTCGCTCACTAAACGATCAAAACTTTTTGTTTTTGTATCATTTTGTACATTTATAAGACTACTTTATTATATGTGAAAATAAGAAAAAGTTAAATATAGGAAGCATATGAAAATAACTAATATATCCTAAAAAATGAAGAAAAACAGAGAAAATTCGGATTAGCCTATATCAAGTTAAGTTAAATTATGTATGTAAATTTGGTAATTGCATGCTATAGAACCGATATAGTAATATGTTTTTATGCAAAAAGAACAATCATTAAACTTTTGAAATAGAAGTAGGTATCACGTGATTGGCAACAGTTATTTTTTATTCTTAATGTCAAGGAAAAAGATAATGACCTTGACCTGACCTTGCCTTTAATATAGAACGGTCAAATTTAATTTCACTGATACTATCACTTACTGATATTGTCTTCTTGATTCTTTGAAAATTTCATTAATTTTTAAATATTAGAAATATGAGAAGAATCCTACCTTAACATACTGGTAGAAATACATAGGAAAAGTCTTTTAAAAAACTTCTTTTTAAGAATCACAAGGCCAGGAAAGATAAAACTTATGTGGAAGCATCCTCAGGTAGTGTAAAATCAAGTTTCTTTAAATCGTGACCCCTTGGGGTAGGGTGGGGCCACAATGGGGGATCAATGTTTTACATAGAAATACATAAGAAAAGTCTTTTAAAAATATTGTTTCCAAGAACCACCAGGCCAGGAAAGATGAAACTTATGTTAAAGCATCCTCAGGTAGTGTAAAATCAAGTTTGTTTAAATCATGACCCCCGGAGGTAGGGTGGGGCCACAATGAGGAATCAAAGTTTAACATAGAAATACATAGGAAAAGCCATTTAAAAATCTTCTTTAAAATTTCAAGAACCACAGCGTCAGGAAAGATAAAACTTCTGTGGAAGCATCCTTAGGTAGTACTGTAGACGTACTTTTTTCCGCGGGGTCATAATTCCGCGGAATCTCAATTTCTGTTTAGTCCAAGGGTAGAAAATTACGCGGATTTTCTTGACTGTCACTATATGCCTTACATTTATATTAAGTACGCTTGAACAAATTTCTGCGGATTATTTGTGACCGTGTACATAGCGTAAATTAATACCACACGGAGAAAAGTACTTCTACAGTATATAGAATCAATTTGGAAGCATCCTTGGGTAGTGTAGAATCAATTTTGTTCAAGTCATGACCCTGTGTGTAGGACAGGGCCACAATGAAAAATCAAAGTTTTACATAGGAATATGTAGGAAAAAATCTTTAAAAATCTTCTTCACAAGAACTACTGGGCTAGGATTGATAAAAGTTATGTGGAAGCATCCTCAGGTAGTGTAAAATCAAGTTTGTTTAAATCATGACCCCCGGGGATAGTGCAGGGCCACAGTGAAAAATCAAAGTTTTACATAGGAATATATAGGAAAAATCTGTTAAAAACTTCATCTGAAGAACCACTGGGCCTGGAAAAATAAAACATACGTGGTAACACCCTCAGGCAGCGTAGAATCAAGTTGGTTCAAACATGACCCCCGGGGATAGGGCGGGGTCACAGCATAAAATCAAAGATTTACAAAGGAATATGTAGAAAAAATCTTCTCAAGAACCTCTGGGACAGAAAAAATGAAACTTATATGGAAGTATCCTCAAGTAAGGTAGAATCAAGTTTAGATTTATGTTCGTTCAAATCATGGGGGTGGAGGGTTCTTGGCCACAATAAACAATAAAAGTTTTTTATAGGAATCTATGGGAAAAATCCTCTTCTATAGAATGGAAAGGCTGTAGTTTATTTAATAATTTATATTGATATGGAAGCATCATTATGTTGTGTAGATTCACATTAATTTGTTCAAATCATGATTCCAAGGGTAGGGAGGGGCCATGATGGTGATGAAATTTTTACAAAGGAATATATAGGAAAAAAATCTCTTCAAGAACAATAAAGACTTTGTTATTGATACGGAAGTACAGCCTACTCCGGAAATATTGAATTTCAGGGGACCATGCAAATTATTTCAATATATCCGTAATTCAATATAAGCGAAATCGCGAAGCCGCAATTTTGAAAAGTTCAACCCCCGATCAAAAATAAAGAAGAACAAGCCCGAACAAATTGATTTGGTCAATTAATTTGGTAAATCTTTAATGGTGAACAGATTACATGGAATATTAATCTTTGATGAAATTATTTCTTTTTGTTGCATTTAAAAGACAATCAAACCTCATTATAAAATTCCCCGATGGCATTCTTTTGCGTTTTAGGGAAAAATCACCGGACTCAAACAGTTCAATTACAGCTGAACGCTGCTTTTGTATCATCGCAAGTGCACTTGAGTTAATTCCTAAATTCTTAGCTTTTCGAATTTATGCTTATCAATAGCCATAAATAGTTCGTAGTTAGCTTCAGAGTTTGGGATTTTCTTTTTCTGTGGGGTACCTTTATTATAGTATGTTTAGCCTCAATATGTCCAATACGTGAAAACAAAGAATTTAAAAGTGAATAATTTTAATTTGTAAAAGCAGTAATAATAAAAACACCTATGATGAAAACTTATTAATTCACACCCTTGTATATCAGTCGGTCAGTCAGGTATAATTACTGTCAGCAACCATGACGACAGCCGCCAGGGAGACTACTTTAATATAACCGTTATCAAAACAACTCATCATCACCTCTGGGGACCGATCAGTGGCTTCAATATGTAACTCAATATAGCCGATTTCAATATAACCATTATTTTAATGCAAAGAATATGAAAGACTAAAACTGGAGATTTATTTTTATTTGAGTATAAGCAGAATTTTAAAATAAGCGATTTCAATACAAGTGGAGTAAGCTGTATTCTCAAAAAGTTTAAAATTCAAGCCCTTCTTTTGAATACTTTAGTTACCTGATATTTTCTAGCCAATATGCTCAGGTGAGCGATGTAGCCCATGGGCCTCTTGTTATACAAAAGTGTTAAAGAAATTTAAAAAAAATTGTCTTTATAATTCATAACCATTATGTAGGGCTGGGCAAAAATATCGATATTTCCTTATATTGCAATACAATGACAACAAATATCATATCGCAATACGTTAATTAAATCATCAGTATTTTTTTTCCATTTGGTTACTTTTCATAGTTTTGTACATTCTGCATGTAAATTAAAGTTAATACATATCGCAATACAGTTAAAAATATCACAATATATCACAATACGAAATCTCTGGCCAATGCCCAGCCTTACCGTTATCCATTATGAGGTGATTTTAGGTTGTAGTTTGCTTTACAAATTCCTTATAGAGCAAGGAGTTAATATGAATGTATTACAGTTTGTATACTTAAATTGTAGGAAATAGTGATTTTATCGGTATACTGGTATATCACAAGTTTTTATTGTATTACACGTATCGTGATACAGAGACCTAAATACTGGTCCAGAAATTATTCATTTATTTGTTCTATCTTTCAAATTACAATTAAGGAAAGTATTAAAAATGTTGTAAAAGGTGAAAAGAATGGCATCTTACCATCCAAACATGATTAATTTTATGTACCTAGAAATTTTGAGAAAGTGAAATTTTGTTTTTTTAGCAACTTTTTTTTAAGAAAAATAATGACTATTCACTTAAAATCATTGTAAAAATTGCTTGAAAAAATATCATGATATTATCTTGATATTTTAAGGAGAAATTGTGATATATCCCGATACAAAATTTTTGGCGATACCCATCCCTATTAAATTGACATATTGAAAAATTAGCACAGTTACATGAGAATTCGATTTGATTTTGAATGTCTTTAACATATTGGACTGGAGAAATGGACTCGAGGGTATAAATTGTCAAAAACATTTACTGGTATTTATAGTGATCATGAATTAACACTGTTTTCTCACAGTTCCAAATCCACCAATTGGAAATATGAAGAATGCTTGTTAATGTGTACATGCAATATTTTACATAGGAAAACCTTCTTTGTTCTTTTTTTTTTATTCTACTTTTATTTTTAACTTTTTACTTTTTATTTTATTTTAGTATTGTGTTTTAGCCCACCTGAGATTTAAGCTTAAATGAATTTTTTTAATAGATGATTAGTTTTGTGGACTTAAAATATGAAAATATGAATTGACAATACACTGAATTTCATGGAAAAATGTCTTCAGAAAGTTATCTCTCTTATCAGTTGAATATTACGTCTTAAGGAGGGGGAATACATGTATCAGGGTAGTGGATACTGTCTTGGATGGCTCACTTGGTCACGGGTTCAATTCCTGGTTTAGTCATTTCATTTTCTCCTTTTCATGTTACATTCCTAAAAGAGCACCGAGCCAGAAAAGATATTTTTGAAAGCTTTCTTATCTGACAAAAGTGTAGAACTTAAATTGTCCTACATACATTAAGAATTCTTTCCCCAGATTGGCAAAGTTTAAGTCATATATTTAAAATTCATGAACTTTTGGTAATTATCCTTATTTCTAGACATTTGCTTATAATTATATGTAATAAGAAACACTTTTTTTCTGCACAGTTGATCCAAGATATGCAGATCCAGTGGTTGGTGCTCCAGCTTCATTTCAACAAAGACTTATGGAACTTAGTGCTCTTGAGGGAGAAACTATACGATATGAAAGAAGTAAAAAAGTGAAGAAAAAAGTCAAACAGGATCGTGACTCTTAATTGCATATGTTTTTTTTGGATTTCTCATTATTTATTACATGTATTAGCTAAGCTGAGCCAAAGCTTAAGGACTCTGATGCAAGTTTGTCTACCATCATAGCATAAGTCTGCTGGTCTGTTAACTTCTCCTGTTTACCTCTTCCTCATGCAGTGCCTCTGTCACAGTTTCAACCAAAATTTTCCATGGAGGTTTGCATTTGATGAAATAAAGGGGCCTGCAACTTTTTCAGAGAAATTTTACACAAATTACATTATTGTAGTTATATTAGACAAGAATCCCCATAGATTTATAATTATAAAAATCATGGCATCTACAGCGAAAGTGGCCCAAACAGAAGATCAATAGTATGTCAAAGACTATATGTGCTTATGCAATAGTAAGATGCCTGTCATCCATATATCTGTCTGTCAGTCAGTCTGTAAACAACTTATCATCATAATGCTACTCCTCCTACAGTTTTGGTCTGATTTCAGTACATGACATTGTATAATCTGGCACACAAGTAGACTACACTAATCCCGGGCTGTTTACACAGATAGTTTAATTTGAAGTATTAAATGTAAGTTACTGCAAATTATAATTGAACGTTGTTCACAGGTGGAGCTTAATGAGAATTGGAAAATCTGAATTAAACTACTGCACATTAAATTTCTTTGCGTAAGTGTGAACACTAAATGAAGCTAATTCGAATTTAATTTGACGCATGCATAATGGTAAAAGTTTAGTCATATGCTACATGTTGATGGTAAACTATAGGCACTTGTGCTATTTTTTAAGTGAAAAACAGACGAATATTATGTAAATTAAATGTGTACAGACACTAGCCTATGAAAAAGCTCCGCAGGTGATGTGATTTGGAAATGATGTCATAATAGTCTTACTGATTAGCCTTACTGTAGAAATATTGATTTTAATTTGCAATAGTTACTTTCACATTAGCTGTCTTGTGAATGCAATTTATTTCCCATTAGTTTAATTTGTATTAATAACCATTTGCTGTGAATTAAACTCTCCATGGCAACAGGGAATAAGATACAAAATTCTGTACATCGGTTTTTTTATTTTGATGAATGGTGTTGCCCTGGTTTCAAAAAATAGAAATTTCTGCGAAATTTCTTTAAAACGCTTCTCCTCCCACAAGTTTGATCTGATTGTAATAAATCTTTTTTCTTCTTTCATTATATGTATAATCAATTAGAACTTAGAGACTTTTGATTCATTACTTTTATTCAAAAAGAAGGCTACATTTGACATACAAGTGTCAATAGGTAGTGAAGATTCAACTTTATTCAAAAAATGTATTAGAAGAATAGGGTGGCTTTTTAATAGTAAGTCATAGTTCAATATGTTCTTATATTCAAATCATTGCTGGGGAGGCATTTTCATAGCATTGTTTGAGACAATGTTTTTCTATCCTCACTGCATTAACTGTCATATACTCAACTGTTGTGCATTTTGTAATCAGATGAATAAAAACTAAAAATAGCCATATTGTTATCAATGACAAACTATCAATAGCAATACCTGCACATATTATTATCGATGTCAAACTGTAACTAGCAATTTACCTGCACATATTGTTATCAATGACAAACTGTCACTATAAATACCTGCACATATTGTTATAATGACAAACTGTCACTATAAATACCTGCACATATTGTTATCAATGACAAACTGTCCTTAGCAATTAACCTGCAAATATTGTTATTTATGACAAACTGTCCCTAGCAATACCTGCACATATTGTTATCGATGACAAATTGTCCCTATCAATACCTGCACATATTGTTATCATTGACAAACTGTCCGTAGCAATACCTGCAAATATTGTTATCAATGACAAACTGTCCCTAGCAATACCTGCAAATATTGTTATCAATGACAAACTGTCCTTAGCATTACCTGCACATATTGTTATCGATGACAAACTGTCCCTATCAATACCTGCACATATTGTTATCAATGACAAACTGTCCCTAGCAATACCTGCACATATTGTTATCAATGACAAACTGTCCCTAGCAATACCTGCACATATTGTTATCGATGACAAACTGTCCCTATCAATACCTGCACATATTGTTATCATTGACAAACTGTCACTATAAATACCTGCAAATATTGTTATCAATGACAAACTGTCCCTAGCAATACCTGCACATATTGTTATCATTGACAAACTGTCACTAAAAATACCCGATCATATTGTTATTGATGACAGACTGTCACTAGAAATAACCACATATTGTTATCAATGACAAACTGTCCGTAGCAATACCTGCAAATATTGTTATCAATGACAAACTGTCCCTAGCAATACCTGCACATATTGTTATCAATGACAAACTGTCCCTAGCAATACCTTGCACATATTGTTATCAATTACAAATTGTCACGATAAATACCCGATCATATTGTTATTGATGACAGACTGTCACTAGAAATAACTGCACATATTGTTATCAATGACAGACTCCCTAGCAATAACTGCACATATTGTTATCAATGACAAACTGTCCCTAGCAATACCTGCACATATTGTTGCTGAAAATTGTGGGAATTTTTCTGGTTTTGTGAAGGCCATAACTGTGAAAATCATGGAGATCTGTCATGTAGGCAAATTCATGAAATGCAGTATTGATTAATTGTCCAATTTTACTTTCTTTGTATAATTTTTTTTATTACCTGGTATGTTCACTAAAACGCAAATTTTTACTCCCCCTACATAGTTGCAATTCCATGGTTCAAGTGACTCTAAAACATAAAGTCCTAAATACCGTAAATTCTTCATTAAAATCAAGGACCTATTCGTTTGATAGTAATTATAGTAAATATATACATGGAATGATAAAAAATTTGCAAACTGAGTAACTTCCATATTAAGGTCAAGATCTAGTAAATGAATTTAGACTAATTTTTTGGTGCTAGATCCATTATGACGTCATAATCAATTTCAAATTTCTTTTTCCAGTATTTCACAGATTTATAAGAATTATGTAGAAAATAGGGTATTTTTATGGCATTCAATTTGAAATCAGATGACAAGTAACCCTGATACCTATATTATATTTGATATTATACTAAAGAAGAGGCCATGAACATACAAATTACCATTTTCTGAGAGACTGTAGGCAATCTGAATATATTTCTTTTGTCGAATATGACAAAAAATCCCAAATTCATGACTGTTTTACTTAATTTTTCATTAAAAATTACAGTTTAAAAATGGTTTTTCATCTTGTTTACCTAAAAATTATGCCTTGAAACACCTTATTTGATTAAGCTAAAGTTGTAAAACGTCATTAAAGGAATTTATATCTCAATTTATGATTGTCACAAACTAGCCGCAATTTGTAATATTTTTTAAAAAGAGGACAACATTTTAACAATTTTAACTATAAAATCTGCTTCAGAATAATATCTACATATTTCATTGATATTATCATTCTACACACTATATCAAAATATTTAGCTGGAGGAGGCCTGCGCTCGGTGACTTTTACCTGTGATAGAGAGGTAATCTGTCGGATTTCAAGCTGATTTTTTTTTTATCAGGAACGTGAAGATGAATTAAAGTAAGAGATTTAGATATAAAGAAAACTATATTAAAATTTTAATTATTTTTTTTTAAAAATCAGAGAAAATTATACATCGTAAAAGTAGGGACCTGTCGATATACACCTGTGGTATACAGGCCCAGAGATGCCAATTACGACAACCTCGCCTCTGTTTTCCAAGTTTCGAATCAATTTTTCAGTTACTAGTAGTATCGAATCAAGCGCCCTCTACTGTTGCTGACGTGAATATATAATCACGTTCTGTATTGTCAAAATTTTATACAATACATGGTGTCTAATTTAGCATTTACTAAACAGTTCTAATAGATGTAATAAGAATAAAGAGTCTACCGACATTCTGCAGCTGTATTTTACGCAATAACTCTCCACATGTCCAATGATACCCGTGTGCTAAAATAGTGATATTAAATTTATACTAATAAAACAAACAGGGCGGAACACGTTGAGAGGGGTTAGAGAGTCCCTATGGAGTTTTGGTATAAAATTTCATTGCAAAAGCTCAAAATCTTCTGGAGATATCGCCCAGAAACGAAAGTGTTACACAAAGACGGAATGTATAAATTTACGACCTTGAACTTTAATCTTTTGACCTCAAAATATATAGGGGTCTTCCTTATGCCACAGGGAGTTGTTATGTAAAATTTCAGGATTCTCAAGATATTGCGCCGAAAACGGAAGTGTTAACACAGACAGAATTTATCAATTGATGACCTTGACCTTTTGGCCTCAAAATCAATAGGGTTCTTCTTTAGGCCATGTGGAATTGCTATCGGCTTGGCCAAGATCAGGTGCCCATTTCCACTTGAATGATGTTATATATGCGTAACTCTTTAAAATTACAATTATTAATCTAAATGTCTTTAGTTGCATTGCAAATAGCAGATTGAGAGCTTTCCATTGGTATATTATATTATATATATAGTACAAATTCATAATTTTTGAAGCGTTATGCTGTTGCACTTGATTTTTTTTTTCCATTTTAAAAAATGGATAATTAAAATTATTTTGAATGAAACATTCCAAAATAGATATTGTTTGTTGTAGAGAAATCATTCTGGTTAAGTTTATTTTTTACAGAAATGAAAAAGGATAAAAAATGTGGAAATTATTAATAAATGTGTGCAGATATACCTTTGTTATATAAATCAAGATTTATCAATGTTTGAATAAATTCCTAATTTCTAGCAGGAAAGAGCAAATATAATGCATAATTTTTTTTTATTTTACTTAAGAAAAAAGTACTATAAGAAAAATATAGTGGTTATATGGTAAATTGTGTGCACATTTTGTAATTTCGTTCTCATACTGATGTAAAATTTTGTATAGTCCGTAGCCCCATATTTCATTATAGTTTGTTTTAAATAGAAGAATGTATAATTTAGAATGCTCTTGTTTGATATTTTCACAGTCACTAGTAAAGAATAAAAACAGTAATGAATAGCTTTTACGACAACACCAAAAGAAGCTATAGAAGAATGATTGGTGTCCATAGCCCTGTATAGTCCGTAGCCCCAATATTACAACTATCAGAAAAAGTCATATACATTATTGATACAATAACTACAATATAATAATATGTTTATTCAAACAAATACAATGTTTTTAAATACATAATCGACTGTAATTAAAAATGTAGTGTCTGAATATTAACATTTTTAAGTAAAGGCTTGCTTCTGTAGTCTGTCCTGTTCTGTTTGTAGTCACAACATATTTCTTTAAATATATACCTATGATAAAGTTTTCCTTCTTATGCTACACACTATCAATTCATTTAGAATATTAGGGGACCTATATAAGAAGATTATTTTCGTAATTTTCATTGGCTGAAAGGACGTCACGTGATATTCCTCCTTTTGAGATAATGAAGCGAAAGCGCGTCGGCGGAAAATGATATCGCACGACACGCCATTCGGTTGCACTGAAGTTACGTAGAACGTGACGTCATAGTATGATAAGCGTGTTTTTAACCATTGTGACGTAATGACAGCCAAGTCCGTTGTGTTAGGACTGTGTCAGTGCATTCAATTTGCATTGAGTGATTATATAATAACTATTATGGACTTCAATGAACGGTCAATATGTGGTTATAAGGACTCTTGGCAATTGATATTGACCGAAGACACAGAAAATGATGGCGACCTCGCAGGCTCGGTCGCTATCACTTTCTGTGTCTTCGGTCAATATCAATTGCCATGAGTCCTTATAACCACATATCGACCTACACTGAAGTCCATAATTGTATAATAATTAGCCGTGGAACTTTGTAAAAGAATATTTGACCACACAAATCCTACTTACAAAAGGGCTGCAGACTCTTCAAATAAATTTAGAAAATTTACAGACCATAAAACCATACTTCTTTATCAGCATGAGGTTTTTTCACCCAACCAGTCATCACATCACATAGTGGGATTTGATCCCAAAACATAAGGATCAACTCCTTACTTTGCGATTTAGTACAAAGTGAGACCTTCACACTAAGTAATTGCACCACCCAATCTACTTGTCACTGAATTGTTAATTCAAAATAAAAAAAAGCATTGATTCTTTATGGATAAATATTGTGATATTATGGTTTTTTTCTTCAAATGGTCAATCTTTTTTTGTTGTTGTAATTTTTATATGAATTGCACTGTATGGTCATGATCATAAATTCTGAAACACCTTTTGAATGACCATCTTGATCTATATGCAAAACATTTACAATAAAATCGAGAAAAAAGGTATGAAGCAATATAGTCCGTAACCCCCTCCCTCCAAAAAAATCAAGCCTTGACTTAATTAGGGCTCATGTTACTTTCTTCATGATAGTCGAACACTGATAATACTTTATTTATTAGTTGAACTGGAATTTCATTTGGCATTGATCATGGAAGTACACAGTACATTAGACAATTATTTATCT